TTCTGTGTTGGAAAAAAGCATGTTCTATAATTTTTTGCTTTATAAACTGTGTGTGTATATATAAATTAAATAAATAAATATATAAATAAAGGCTGGCAATTAATTCAAATGTTTAAAAATATTGTGGAATGGATTTGGCTCATGACAGAAGCCTTCAAATCTGTACTAAACAAACTTTTAAAAAAAAATGACAGGTCAGGGGCTAGCAGGTGGCATAGTGGTTAAGGGCACTGGACTCCCACATGGCTGACTGTATAAACTCTTAATTAACCAAAGCAATGGAAGATAGGAAGAGATCACAGCATTAGTACCATCTTATTTTCCATTGACTATTCTAGAAGTGCTCACAGTAGAATTAAATTATTGAAAAATTGCTTCTCCCTATTTCAGGCCCACTGGTAGAGGTAGTAACAAATAGGCCAAATGTAAATAGATCATAAGAAAAAAAGATAGATCCTGGATAATTTAAAGCTAAAAAAATCTTTTTTGGGGGGACCAGCAGTTAGAGTAACGGCTGTGTCACTGGACTCCCATGTAGTTGCAAGTCTCAGACCCAGTGGCTTGAAAATCATGCCAGGTGCAAGTGCATACATACCCAAGATACCAGGAAGAGAATGGAGGAGAAGGGACTGTGGTGAGTCAATTTCCCCTGGGGGATGATTTCTCCCTTTTCCTCTCACTGTCTCCGTCTCTCCCCAGTAAGCACACATGCCCTATGGCAAAAACCTCTTTAAAATACATATATATATTTTTTTTTTTTTCAAGTAACTGAGATTGGTTGTATTTACATGATGGTGATCCAAAGTATAATTTATTGACATTTAGGCCATTAAAATAATGGGGATAGGTGGGAGTTGTTGATTGTCTCTTTTGAAAGAAAGATACGTCAATTAAAATACATTTAAGCTGTCAACTTTTTTAACTTAGAAAAAGCTATTTAAGAATACTGTACATTCACTAACAAATAATAAACTAAACTCTACTGAAAGTGAAGCTCTGGCCTACTGGTAGTTAGCAAGGTAATCAATAAAATGCCTAACTTTTCCATTAAAAAAACATCATAAGATTGGCAGTATTTCAGTATTTGTCTTTTTGAAGAAGGTATTACAAAGGGAAGGAAAAAGAAACTTAGGTAAAATTAATTTTCCTCATTGGCTTCAATTAACACTATCTTTTTTTTTTTTAGAGATTTTTGCTGTGGGGCACCTAAGCTCCCTGGAGAGACTGAGACAGAAAAACAGAAACTGAGAAGTCACCCACCTTGGGGGAATATCCACCCCACAATCCCCCTCTCTTCCATTCTCCTCTGGGGATCTTGGGCATGCACACACACACACACACACACACACACACAGTGTAAGTTATAAGGCTTCAGGTCTGGAACTTGGAACCACAGTCGACTATGTGGGAGTCCAGTGACATAACCATTAGGCCATCTGTTGGTCCCTTAAATTAACATTTTTAAAGATAACTCTTCACTAGGGAAAAATAAACATTCAGAAGACCAAAACAAAATTTTAAAGAAGACAAGATTAAGATAGTAGTCTTAAGTCCATGACATAGACTGAAGATCCTCTGCCAAGACTTCACTCTCCTGCTCCCCGGTCTAGTCAGGAGCCAGGATAAGCCAATCAGCAACCATCTACATGTCAGTTAAAAGCAGCCCCTTTGAGGGATTTCAACCACTGAAGACCCTCTGCTCTCCAGTATAGCCAGAAGACCCTACTTACTCTGTGTCTTTCCATCTTTATCTCTCTATATATTTTTTTAATTTTTAAACTTAGCTATCTGTTGGCTTTTTATTTCTAATTCTTACCTTTCCTTCTGCTGCATAGGATAAGCCAATCAGTAATCATCTACTTTCAGCTAAAAGTGGCCCCTTTCAGAGATTTGGACCACCGAAGACCCTCTGCCCAGATTTCACCCTCCTGCTCCCTGGTGTAGCCAGGAGCCAGATTAGAAGACCCTATTGGGACCAGCAGTTAGCATAATGGCTATGTCGCTGGATTCCCATGTAGCCAACTGCGGTGCGAGTCCTGGACCCGGTGGCTTAAACTCATGCCGGGCGCGTGTGCGTGCATGCCCAAGATTCCGAGAGGAGAATGGAGGAGAAGGGATTGTGGCGTGGCCATTCCCCCGGGGGGTGATTTCTCGTTTTCTGTCTCTCTGCCTCTCTCTTTCTGGCGAGGGCACGTGTCCTATAGCAAAAACCTCTCCCCAAAAAAAGAAGACCCTATGTATTCTCTCTGTGTCTTTATATCTTTCTTTCTCTATTTTATTTTTTTAATTTTTAAACTTAGATGTCTGCTGGCCTTTTGTCTTTCTTCATTGACAAAAAAGTTCCTTTTTCTTCTCTTTTTCTTATTGTTTTTGTCTTGTGTTTTCTCTTCTTTTTTTTCTATTCCTTTTCTGTTTCTTTTTACCTTTCTCACTTTTCTGCTCAGACTCCATACACTATTTTCTAGACAGTCCTAGGTGCTGAGTAGCTAAATATCTGAATACATTTAGGGTCAGATTAATCCTCAATTTTCATTGAACCAATTGTGCAAAGGTATAAAAACAGTACTGTGTACAGACTGCAGGTCACATGCTTCTGCATTCCTCTGATTGCTCAGATTTAACTCCAAAAAATAGGGAAAAAAGTATAATCCATCAGATGACCAGAAACCACCTCAGAAGCACAAGAAATAAGAGAAATTAAGACAATAGTAACTCCTCTTCCTCCACAAAGAATACAAGGAAACTCATGGAAATTAAATTGAAAATATTCACAGGAACAAAGCTAACAGAGGCACAAGAGAATAGAGACAACAAACTCCAGAAGATGCAGGAGAAAAGAGACACTGAGTTCCAGGAGGTGAAGTTCTTGCATGAGCTGAAAGAGGAGATATAAATTATAAAAAAGAATCAAAAGGAATTCATAGAGATGAAGGCTGTAATAAAGGAAATCAAAACTTCAACTGAAAGTTATCAAAAGCAGATTAGATCATGCAGAAGATCGAATCTCAGATGTAGAAGATAGAACCTCTGACCTAGAAAAATTCATCAAAAAGACTGAGAAAATAACCCAAAAAATGAGAATAACATAAGCTTTTTTAAATTTTATTTTTATTTATTTTTAAAAAATACTTTGCCCATCATGAAATACTTCTCAGACCAATCCAGTTGAGAATACTATACATGTCATCATCAACGGTTAATAAGCCATATCTGTTTCTCACTAACGTTCTGCCTCTCTATTGTTCACTTGCTATCTTTCTCTATCCTCTTGAGAATAACATAAGCTTTATACTAGACATCATTAAATGCCCAAACATCCAGATGATCAGTATCCCCAAAGGTGAAGAGACTAATAAGGGCATAAATAATCTATTCCATGAAATCCTAAAAGAAAACTTTTCAAACCTAGAGAGGCACTGAAATACCTAGACCCCAAAAATACCAAGGACCCCACACAGAATCAACCCAAGAAGATCTTCTCTAAGGCACATCACAGCCAGATTGACCAAAACCACAGAAGATACTAAAATTTGGCGAGAGAAATGTCAAGTTACTTTCAAAGGATATCCCATAAGGCTAATGGTGGATCTCTCACCTGAAAAAATGCAAGCAAGGAAAGAATGGGAAAATATATTCAAAGTGTTAAGTGAAAAACAATTTAACCAAGAATACTATACTCAGCAAGATTATCTTTCATATAGGAAAAAAGGACAAAAACCTCAGAATAACAAAACCTGAAAGAATTTACCAACACCATACCAGCTCTCCAAAAAGTACTGAAGGAAGTGCTATGCCAGTAAAACTAAAATCAGACACACAGAAATAAGAGTACAAGAAACAAACAAAAGAATGTCCAACCTAATGGTAGGGACAAGTCCAGAGTTGAATATTAACTTCCAGAGTTTAAATGGAGAGATCAGACCATAGTAACAATGCAAATTCAATAGAAGAGTAATTAATTACGTGAGTCTGAACTAGTGAAATAGATTTTTTTTTACTTTAGACTAAATCATTACTGATTTTCTTCGATGTTTTGATTTCCATATTTAAGAATTTTTATCTTCTCTTGAACTGTAGATAGGTTCATTTACTATTTGAACTAAATCCTAACCCTTTTCCTGGCTTTAAATTTTAAACAAATTTCCCTAAACATTTTTTGATTTTGACCTATTAAAACTAAAACACTTTTTGAAATTTTAAAATACAGGGACCAGCTAATAACCTATTCCTGAATTACTTCACAACTACTGACGAAATTAAAACTGAAATAAAAAGATTCATAGAAACCAATGATAATGAGTACATGACTTCCATAATCTATGGGACACAACAAAAGCAGTCATAAGAGGGAAGTCCAGGGACCAGCAGTTAGTGTAATGACTGTGTCACTGGACTCCCATGTAGTCGACTACAGTTCGAGTGCCGGACCCGGTGGCTTAAACTCACGCCAGGTGCGTGTGCGTGCTGGCCATCCCCCCGGGGGGTGATTTTTCGCTTTCTATCTCTCTGTCTCTCTCTGTCTGTCTGGCAAGCACATGTGCCCTATAGCAAAAACCTCTCCAAAAAAAAAATTAAAATACATTCAAAGCATACCTATTAATATATATTTAATGACTGCAGTAAGCTATATTGCCCCATCACAGTAGTACTTTATAGTATGTTCACTTTATTCACTGAGGTTTATACCTAAAGTCAGATAGGCGTTCTTAATCAGAGTTACCTTAAGTTTTGAGTTTTGTTTTTTTAAAAAGCAGTCCACCTATATTAAATTTTCTTAACTACTTACATTGCATTTACTTATAATGATGGGAATCCATATTAAGTGTTAAAGTGCTGATAAAGGTCTGGTTCCTGAGTATGCTTAGCTCTAAAATAAGGATAGCATTGTTACGAGGATAAAATAAATCATGTAAAGACAGGAACTTGAAACAGTTCTTGGCACACAGTTAAATGTTCAGTAAATGTTAGTTTTTTTATTACATAAGAAAACAGTTACTCACTCTTTTGTTGAGACAAATAACAGGCCACAGACTGCAACCCAGTGTACAACAGCAGCAGAGACAACCACACAGCAGCCATTTCACATTGACTGGGAGAGCCTTTTTCAAACATGCATTCACACGGCCAATGCTGGTCTTAAATTCTTCTGGGGCCACCTACAAAAAGGACATAATATTTCATACACTGTAGGTAGCTTTCCAGTATTTATCTCCAAACTTCAAGGAAAATGTTTGTCCTATTATAAATACTTTAAAGAATTACAAATGTCTAAATATATTTCTTCCCCATCTTTCCCTGTATGTACCACATATCTTGTATATGTATTATATATTGTATTCTTACAATAAAGTAAGCTAGAGAAAATACAATGTTATTAAAATCATAAGACAGAGAGCATAGATTTACAGTATTTATTGAAGAAAATCTACATATAAGTGGACCCCACACTATCAAACCTATGTTGTTCAAGGGTCACCTATTAGCAGATGTTATAACAACACAAAACTTAGGACTAAGCACGATCATGATTAAAACATTGCTAGTATATAAGCTTTATTAGAATTATTCATATCACCCTATAAGGTTAATTGCTTAGACCATGAAACTGATGATCTGATTTCCTTCCTAATACATTGACCAACAACTGTGAAACTGTAAGTCTCAAACCTTTGATTACATGGGGCAAGCACATTGATTTCATTTTCCATGTAGATTTTCAGCAACATGATGTAAAGACATCCACTGCACAAAGAATTCCAGTTAAATGACAAAATTTCTGAGATAAATATGAAAAATAAATTCAGAGAACTATGCCTTATAATTGAAAAGAGAAAAAAAGCAAGCTAAGAACATTAGACAATAAGTAAAGAAACGTAGAGTCTAATTACTTAATAGCTCTGAAAAATTCTATAGTTTCCCCTCTATAAAATGAAAATAATAAACATTTATTTTGTATACTTTAGGGGGAACAGATATTATACCTTTCAAAGAATATATGAACTGGTATGCTATGAAAAAACGAAGGCTACAAATCATTTCTGAGTAGATTTGGAGGAAGAAAAGCTCTCTTTTGCATATAGTTTTACCTGAAAGTAAGGAGTTTGATCAGGTAACTATTAATACTTTGCAATTTGCTATAAACATTATAAACATAAAAATACTCTACTACGTTTTGAACACAGATTCAGTGTTCATCAGTTCTTCAAGTCTTTACAAAATAAATGAAAAAAAAAATTAAAGGTACTAGCTTTGTTTTGTTTTAGAAGTTTTTGCCTTAGGGTGTATGTGCTTGAAGGAGGTTGGGGGAAAGACAGAGACAGTGAGAGAGACACTGAGAAATCACCCCTAGTGGGGATGGCCAAACTTCACTCCCTTCTCCTCTATTTTCTTCCTAGGATCTTAGGCATACAGGCACTTGAGCCAGGTGTGAGTTTCAAGCCACCAGGTCCAAGACTCGAACCACTGTTGCCCATGTGGGAGTCCAGCAACATAACCACTAAGCCATCTGCTGGTCCCCAAATTACTATCTTAAGATACAACTCTCTGGGACCAGCAGTTGGTGTAATGGCTATGTTGCTGGACTCCCATGTAGTTGACCACAGTTCCAGTCCTAGATACGGTCGCTTAAACTCATGCCGGGTGCGTGTGCATGTGTGCCCAAGATCCCGAGAGGAGTCTAGAGGCGAAGGGATTGCGGCATAGCCATCGCCCCCCCCAGGGGATGATTTCTCACTTTCTGTCTCTCTGTTTCTCTCTGTCCTTCTGGAGAGTGTATGGACCCTAGACAAAAGACTCTCCAAAAAAATAAAAAAGATATAACTCTCCAAGCAGTTTTTCCCTAGGGAACCACCAAACAATCAAATAGGAATTAAAAGAAAAGCATTTTACAGCTTTAGTTCTAATTTGTAATATAATATTAACTTTCTTTAAATTCTGTATCCAGAATCACTAATATGTTTTAAAACATGGCAAATTTTATATGAACTAATACAAACTATACAATGATTAATTCTGTGCATTTGCAAATTTAAGTGTTTGTAATTAGAATTTAAATTTTTATTTTAAAGTGAGTACCATCACATGGAAAAAAAAAAAGTAAAGGGTGAGGCTAGATGTAGAAATGAATCAATACAAAAGAAAAAAAGTATAGCTATAAAGAACCTTAGAAAAGAAATCCCCACTTCTACCAGAGCTGAACAATATTAGAAGTCTGGGGAGATTGAAGCTAGAGAATAATAGGAAAAAAGTAAAGAATAACTGGCTTTTTGTTTAAAATACTATGAGTGTAATAAATTACATGCCAAGGTACATAAAATTTGTCTTGTAATAAATACATGCTTCTGGAAATGAAAACAAAAAGCATTCCTAAAATGTGTTAATTTTCCTTTTTGCTGCTAATACTTTCCACTTTTAATACCTAATAGTCTCAGTTTGTACTCTCACTATAGGCAAATTAAAAACTAAAATATTAAAGTGACTAAAAATGAGAATTTAAAATTTTTGAAGTTGTAGGACAAATACATGAAAAAGCAAAACATCTGCTAGAATTTCAAACCACAAACTAAAATTTGCATTTTAACTTTAAATGGAGGGTAGGATTGTCTCTGAAAAAAATCTGTACTTGAATAACAGTAAAAGTCATAAAACATCATGTCATAGGAAATGAGAATTGATTAATTCCTGATTTTAAACAATGTGAAAGAAATGTTAACTGTGTAGAATCAGAGTTAATAACATCTTACTCATTTACTTCCATATAACTGAGTATCTCTAGTAATGAAGGTTACTTTCTAGCTGAACTATGGGTTGTAAAGAAACATTTCTTTGTTTTTGACTCTCTTGGGAAGAAAAATAAAACCACATCATAAAGGTGGGGAAATGGTCATAATATTTTATAACAGGATGCAGGAGACTCTGTAAACAGAAGAAAATCTAAGCAAATCCCAGCAAGACTGACTTGCCTCCTTCAATTGCCAGGAACACAATCCCATCAATCACTTGTCATATTGTATCACAATAGTAAAGGTCAATTTTTATGGCTTAGGAGTCTCAACACTGCACACTAATTTCCCCATGTAATGGTTTCAAGTTGAGGACAGAAGCGTTAATTTCCTTCCCAAAGTTCTGTGGCTCTTTCATTTTCTGTTCACCAGAATCTATGGGTATATACTATACCTTCTTGATATGTTCTATCTTGACAGGAGGCCTTATCTTTAGTGAAACAGGGAAAACAATACTTTCTGCACTTGATATAAAAGATTATCTTTTATCTGCATTAAAAGCATTAACACAAAAGCAAAAAATTAATATTCAGCTACAGAGATTGTCAAAATGGCTTTTTAGGTTTTCAGAATTCACTGCATTTTTGGTTAGTTCAGGCAGGCATAAAAACTATTTAGAATCTCATTCATGCTGACAGATTTTATAAAAGGTAGGTTTTTTTTGTTGTTTTTTCTTTTTTTTTTTTTTTTTTACTATTTTAGCTATTGCTTTTATTTCATTTAAAAATGTTTTCATACAAACGCTGTTAATTCTGGAATTCAAATATTTTTTTCCCAGATTCATATAAATTCTTTTTGCCACTTGATAATCCAAAGTAACCTAAACAAATAAAATAGTGTCTATTAGAAAAAAACTATCTCATTAAAGAGAAACATGAAAACTAATATTACCACCATGTGACTTTTAAAAATCCAGACCTTCAGAATTCCTTTTAATGTTTCTTACCACCACACACTAAGAAACATATTATAGTATTACTTATGTCTTATCCAATGCATAAAAAATTTAGTGGACTATAGATAATGAATAGTCACACATCATTATGATACATGCTGTAAAAACAATCACCTGAAAAGAGTGGATGTTTTAAAGAATAAGTTCATATTCAGAACATTCAGGGTGTGTGAATGTATATCAAAAGCAACTCTCCATTCTTATTTCTCTAGTTTTAAAAAAATATGCTTTCTTTTGGGCCAGTGAAATTTTAGTTTCAGAAGGCTCGGAAAGAAATGAGGAAGTATGAAAATAAATTCTGAAGATTCCTTGAACACATACAACTGGCTAATTTAAGAAATGTTTAATTCTTAGGCCTCAGAACTCTATTCACTGACATTTTTAGATCATTCACTTTCTAGAATTTCTTGACCCTAGAATTTAAACTTTTAAAAAACTAAGCCAATACTAAAGCTAGATGTAACTGTTTGGTCAACACATGTAACAGCATCAAGAAAAAATGTAATTTTTCCATTGGAATTGTATTTAATTCATGATCTTTACTTTTAATTTTGAATTTCCCATCTTTCTATAAATTTATTACTCAAGAGATATTTCCATATCAATTCTATTCACTTAGAGAAAACATTTATGATCAATTCATACAACAAAAATCTAAACTGCTGCTTCAACTGGTGAATTATTCTAAAGGATCAGTATAGATTGGTAGAACATATTAGAGAGTAAGGCCAAAATCTCACACCTAAGGGTTGTGTCCTAAAAACTAAATGGCCACATGTTTTCTAATGTTAATTTAGCCAGGACTATGGTCGCCTGTTTATTCTACGGAGGAATATGACATTATACTTCAGGAGAGACAGAAAAGATTAACAACCTTAGGACAAATTAGTGATGGGATCAGTGAATAAATCATTACTTAGATAAAGAAAAAATAACAAAAATTAATTAAAAATTGAGAGCCAATGAGGAAATTGGAAAAACAACCAGGGTGAAACTGGGATACACTCCTTAAGAATAGTCAAAAACACCCACAAAGTAACACTGAGAAATAAAATCTTGACAGTATTTTAGGAACTTTATATATGCTCTATCATTTAATCTTTAAAACAAGAAATGAAGTAATTATCAATATTACCTTTATTTTTCATGTATTTTTCCCCTGAGGCTGAGGGGAGTGTGGCTAGCTCAAGGCCACATAGCCTGTAAGTGATAGTACTTAGACTTCAATACAGATGTGATTGTAAAGCTGTTTATTGCTACTCTATTCTATCCCAAAGTAGATCCCACTTTTCAAGGAGGAAATGAGCAAATAAAGGGTAAAATAGCTCTCAGGACTAAATTAAACAGAATTTCTTACAATCACAAAGATATCCTTTGGGGGGAAAATAAAGAAATAAGTCTCCCGTGTTTTTCTTTTTTCTTCCCTAAAGAAATTATGGGGGGAGATCAGACTTAAGCCAAAAGTTAGGAGAGCAACCAACCAGAAAGTGCATCAAGACAAAAATAAAAGCCAATATTAGTAAAAGCATCTTATCTCATTCTCAAAGACTTTAGAACAAGAGAGAATAAATTAAAAGACTTGATATATAATATAGTAGCCTGGTTAAAAAATCAAAACAATACAAAAAGATACTCAGACAATCACTTTTATTAGTCTCAGGTATACTTTTATAGGATTTCTTTATGTAAAAATACAACTACTGATGTGCTTATTTCTCCCATGTCTTATATATACTATACACACTGATTTATAGCTTGCTTTGCTCACTAACAATATGAGAAAAATTAACACTAAAATGGCATAAAAGCCCTTTAGAGAATGGAATGATTTTAAAATACACCCAAAATTTATATTGATAAATAGCATTTTTCTAGTACTAAAATTAAACAGGATAAAATTAAATTACAAGCTCCAAAACCAAAAAGTTCACTTCTTTTAACTCAAAAACATCATCAGTTACCTAGGCATTCAGCTATTAACCGCTGGAAACTGTTGAGTATTTTGTAATCTAAAGGCTTTTTTTCTCTTCTATATTTCCTTAAGTAACAAATAAGTATAAATAACATTTTGCTTTAGGCACAGCCTTCTCCTTTGGGCCTGGAAAGTTACACCTCTTACTGTTGTAAGAGGATTTCCCAAGCATAGTTAATTTTTTTAATTGCACATATTGCAGGTGAACCACATGATGTTTTGATACAAACATACATAGTGAAAAAAAATGAACATATCCATCTCCTCCCAGTTACCTTTCTGTGTCTGTGTTTATGAGTTTGTGTGTGTGTGTGATTAAGAGCACCTGAAACCTACTTTTAGCAAATTTCAGTATACAATATGTTACTCTTTTGCCATCATGCTTTACTTTAGATCTCTAGACTTAAAATTTCTGATTCTAGGAAGTCTTTGAATTTTGAGCTTCAATGCTAGAAGATACTACTCCATATAGGAGAACCATGAAAGAGAAAGGTAATTTATTGTACTGAATCTGATTTTAGAAGCTTAGGCTATCTAAAAGGCAGAAAACTGTCTAATTAAAACTTTGAATCTTTTCATTTATAATAAATCACATCATACGGCACTTTTAAAGTAATAGGGCGATACAGTGAAAAAACAACTTTGTTAGCTCTAAAAGCAAAGAAATGTACTGATCTAAATGAAAACAGTAACAGTTATCCATGCTGAGAAAAAAATGGCAAAACTGGACAAGCTGAAGATAACTAAATAATGGCTGGCATTGGGATCAGCAGATGGCACAATAGTCACATCGCTGGACTCTCATGAAGTCAACCACTGTTCAAGTCCCAGACTTGGCAACTTAAAACTCACACCAGGCGCATGTGTGTCTGTGCCCAAATCCTGAGAGGAAAATGGAGAAGGGACTGCAGCAAGGCCCTGCCCCCTGGGAGGGGGGTGATTTTTCACTTTGTGTCTCTCTGTCTCTATCTCTCCAGTGAGAGCATGTGCCCTATAGCAAAAATCTCTCTTAAAAAATAATGGCTGGCATTAATAGACAAAATAACTAGTCAGAGGCTTATAGTCATGGATTCGGCTTTCAGTCTTTACCAACACAGCTTTCAAGTGTAGAGCCCTGTATTACTTGACTTAATTGTTGATGAGTCAAAGCATTTTTCATGGGCCAGCCCATGGCCTGGTGGTTAAGATAACTGGATCTCACATGGCCAGTCACACAGTTGGAGTCCTAAGCCACTGGGTATATGTGCATATTGCATAAAATCCCAAAAGTAGGAAAAGTTGGAAAAGGGACTATGGGGTGACCATACCCTATGGAGGTGGGGGCTTTCTCCCTCCCTGTCTGTCTGTCTGTCTCTAGTGAGTGTGCACACCCTCTGGTAAATTAAAAAAAAATTGTCATAACACTGAGTAAGCCTTAAAACAATGTTTTAGAATCAAAAAGTTTAAAGCAAACTCTCACTTACCTTCCCTGTTAGAACTGAGGGAAATTCAGTATCAAACTTGTTGCTCAAGCCAAACCTTAAAAACAAAGACAGAACAAATATATTCTACCCAGCAGATTTAACTC